TCCCAGAGTCCGTGAGGAGGCTGATTATCAATGGAGAAGTCATCAGGACCTGTTCTCCCCATCACCCACGCACCCCACCACCACACGCCCAACGTGCAGCACCCAATCTGTCCTCTTCACCCTCTGTCAGGCCTCGTCAGGGCTGTGCACAGCTCCACTTGACAGGTAATCTCAACAATAACAATTACAGCCATTACTGGTGTCATAAACAAGTGGCGACCCAAAGCAGGGAGTGGGACAAAGGCTTTGTAATTGACCATGCAGGTAACTGGGGAGCAGCAAAAGGCCAGACAAATCCTTCTCTCTGAGGGTGAGATCTTCAATCCTCAGGGAGAAAATATTTTGTTGAATTTGGGTATGATTTTTTGATGGTGGTGAAAGTAAGGTGAAGCAATAATAAAACAATTGTATCTAACAACATGACATTATTGATTAAACAATATAAACAACTGAGTATTTTTATGAGAAAACATTAAAATACATCACATTATTGTATAAAGTGTGATAAATATTTACAGTTATTTTGAATCATATATAGTGACAATGAAATTTGTCATTTAGAATCGGGTGATTAACGCATAAATTTAATCCATATATGTTTTATTTTTGGCCTATCAATATTCTTCCATTTTCCTTCACCAAATAAATGTTCTCATTTTAATGTGCGTAATTGTACATGTTTTTTGATGTTTTGTATTTATCTATTTATTTTATTTTCTTCAAGCCGTCGTGCCCGTCTATCCTGTGCGTGTTGCGGTTTCTTGTCAGGGCCAGTTCGCTTCTTCTTCGTCTCCTTTTACCAAAGCAAACAAGGCGCCGTGGCCCGGAGCGTTAAAATCATTTGCGACTCCCTAATGAGGAGAGCTGAGCGGCAATTAACACGTGTCACAGTCGACATCATCAGGTGCCACTCTCCTCTCTCTTTCTCGCCTTTTCTCCGTGTTTTACCTCCCATCCTCTGCTTTGATTTCGTCCGTAAGAAAACAGAGGCGGTAAAATAAACGGGTCTCCATTACCGCTGCTGTCGGAGTGCGCGCGCGTAACGAGCTTTAGTTAACGAAAAGGAGATTGTGGAGAAGCAAAAGCGCGTGTCGCCCCGAGCTTTTATTTGTGTCTGGATTTTCTTTTGCCGCGGCTGTGGAGAGGGTGGTGTGTAAAGACGAAGAGAAGCGCTCCTGCTGCAACAAGAGGACAGATCTGCGGAGGAGAACGTAAGCAAACTGGAGAGGAAGGGAAAACGAAAATAAACAACGCGGATAATCAAAATGAGCTATAAAAAGTGATGCCATTAATTGTTAATAACGTTTAAATGGTGTGTGAAATCTACAAATAATAATTGGGCCTATAGGCAAAATATAACAACACGATAAAATATTAAAATAAAATAAGAAAAAGACAAAAATTAAATTAATTGCGTTTTTTATAACAAATTTTTTGCCTAATTTATTTTGTGAAATATGTCATGCATTGTTCAATAAAACCTTCAAATAAATGGTTAGCCTATATGCATCAACTATATATCTTATATTTTGTATAGACCTAGGTCATCTACAAAAAAACAACAACAATCAATTATCCACAAATTAAAATTACAATAAATATAATGCTTAAAACAATCCTTAAATCTTCAACTGACTGAATTTAATTGCACAAATCATTATTAAGTGCAGTCTTGATGTAGTAAACATCACCTTTTGGGATAAAACGAGGTGTCACCGTTCATTAATTCTTTATTAATAACCATGACTAATATGAGCATAATTAAAGCATACAATTAAAACCCTCTGCTGCAAATTACACATGACATTTCTAAAACGTCCACTTGTGTCATCTGAATGCCAACAGAAGCAAATGCAAAAACATCAATTCAGAAATCTATAACAAGATAATGTGCCTCTATCTTCTGCTGTCCTACAAGGAAAGAAGGTGGAGGAGGAGGAGGCGTTTGGTTGTTGTTGGTCTGACCTGCGAAGCTCTTGTGGCAGTGCAGATCTCAGCGGGACCCCGGCCAAAAGCGCTCTCCTCCGGGCCTCTTCACGTCCCCCCTACGTTCCCCTCTACGTCCCCCCGCGCATCTCATTTACATACATTGGTCTCCGCCTGTTCTCATTAAAGCTCCATCTCACAAAAGTCAGAGTCCCGCTGTTGCTCCCCAGTCCTTGTACCTGTGGTGTATCCCGGGCGTCCATGGACCACAGAGAGCCTGGATGAAAGGGCCAAACAAAAGAAGAAGAGCAGAGGAAGAGGCAGCAGTAGTTCGGGGACGGAGAGGAAGGATAAATGGTTGCTCTGTGCTGCATGCACCCCTCTCTCTCTCCCCTCTGTCTCCGCAGCTCACAGTCTTTTTTGTGTTTCTGTTCTGAAGCAGGCTCCATTTTGTGTTAAGCACTGCCTCTCATGACAGATATACGCCAGGGTCAGGGGGCAAAGTTGAGGACAGGGTCAGCTGTAACATAACATCCAAAAGCAACTCGGCGCAGTCACCAGTCACCCACAGTTTTCTGTTTCATACTGAAGTGGAAAATAGTTGCAAAGAGACTAGAGCGTAGGTTTAGTTTAGTGCATTTGTGCACTCGTATCACAACTAAGAATGTATTTAATGACAAAAGTTCAAAGACCAATTTAAAACGTGAAGGTGATGTGGCCTGCTGTAACAAAGAGACAATGCAACCATTCAAGAAATTCAAAGAAACTGAAGTTGTCGCTTAGTGTTCAAAACACAAAAGCAATTCATTAATAAAGATAACATGGATAATTAGCTTTACATTGAAACTAGAATAAAACAGCACAAACCCCTGCAGCAAATTTATCTTTTAGTTTAGGTATGAAAAATGTGAGATGACGTGTCTAACTTCAATAAACAATTATAAATAAATAATAATTTAAAAAGTCAAACATTCTTTAAAAAATCCAATCACTTCATTTAGACACATTTCATTTCACATTTCATAATCAAAACAGTTTCCGAAGTGCTGTACAATACAAATAAAACAATACAAAGCGAATATAAAATGAAGCTCTTTTTAACTTCACTAGTTGCCGTTAAGACAATAAAACTAATAAAATCAAATAAGAGCAAAAACAGCAATAGATAAAAGGTAAAAACCGTCAAAATAAATAAAATAAATAAATAAAAGACACAGAGGACCACACAACAGGAAAGAGTCAGAGACTCAAAAGTGGATCTTAAGACAATACTTAAAACACACACACAAAACAGACTAGGAATAATACTACTATTAAGAAAAAAATACTGGACAACACAAGCCTTGTTCCAATAAATAAAGTAATGTAACAAATGACAAATGTTTTAGTAGATGAGAACTGATCATATATACACAGCAAATGATTTAAGATACACTGAAATCCAGTTTATCCAAATTTTATGACACCATTGTTTCACCTGACCTCTCCACTTCTTTCTCCAGTGGTTTTGAGTCGGTCAGCCTCTACAGTCCACTTGCGGTCAGTCTGTCTGTACTTACATCATGTCTATCTTTCTTCATTACACATCCAACTTGGTGAACTATAGCCCCACTCAAAATCCCAGGCCAAAAGAATGCATGTATACACTGGTCGTGACCTCACATTCGCGCACATTCAAACACAGATTGAGAAGTTACTGTACAAACACACAGACATACCACATGACCAAAACTTCGTGACCGCTGAACACTATCCAAAAGCGAGGAGAGAGGAAAGGAAAGAATGATGAAGTCGGACTTAAACATTAAACAATAAACAGGCCATTAAGTGCGTGGGATGGGGGGTTAGGATAGCAGATACAGGGGCGCTTTGCTTTGCGTGGAAGATGTAGTTTATTTAAAACACAGTGACCCCATGCTCCAGTGCAGGGATGAATAAAACTTTAATGGCTCATAAAACAGGCCAGCCTATCCAGCAGCTCAGATCCACATGCACCCATTTCTCTATCTGTCCAAAAGGCACAAAGGGGGACAGGCAAAGTGATGTGAAATGTTATTGGGTGAGAGATAATGGAGGAGAAAGAATAGGATACGTGTAGTTGATAAAAGGCTGTTTTATTTGTAGTGGGGGAGAAGGAAGAATACAGGGCAGAACGACAGGCCAAATATTTATTACTCTGGAAGAAAAAAATAATTATAAAGGTATAGGTTTTTAAATCACTTTCTATCATTTGATAATTTAATGTTTTTCAAATTTAACTTAAGGCTATGTGGTGTGCCAACAAAAAAAAAAAAAGTCACTGTATGGCTGAAGTTGTTGTAGCAATAGACACTTTGCAGCCGATGTCATCAATACTTCCTGCGGGTGTGAAGCTAACTGAAAGCACCACTCTGTTTGAAGCTCTGTTACTCAAGTTAGACTTAATCTAACACTATTTATTTAACACAAGAGCTGACTTAATTGAACAACAGGCAAGATGATTCTCTCACACATAAAATTTAAGTTTTTCAGTACTCACTCTCATTTTTGTTGAAAATCAAACTCCTAAACCAGACTATAAACCCTCTTATTGAACACAAACTACTGAAAATGTGTCTAAATCAATTTTGTAGTTTTTTTCTTGAGTTTCAGAAAAAACAAACAACTGTTTGCTAAAGTGTGCATTGTGTCACCATGGTAACATTCCACCATTAAAGATACATGTAGAAAACCCCCAGTGTGATGTCACGGCAAAGTATCAATAGGAAAATTTTACAGTTATTTAAAGATGTACTATGAAAGTTTCCTGGTAGGGGTCCACCACCTCCTTGTCTCTTAGGAGCTGTTATTACTTTGTCCAGAATAGTCTGTGATAGTAAACAATCCATCAGGCTTTTAACCAAAGTTACAAAGTGCACTTAATTACAACAAATATAAACAAAATCACCACTTAAAAACAGAGTGAACTTTCATAGTAGTTCATCAATTCAGTTCATTTTCAGTGTACTCAAAAAAAATCTTTTTGCACTCACATGATTGGTTGTAAATAAAAAGTTTGAATCAAACAACTACCACAACTTTTTTGATTTCAGTGTGTCGTATTAAGTAAGTTTTGAAGCTGTTGCCATGTTTTGAGCACTGGCTTGAGCTGCTGTGTGGCTGTTGTGGGGTGCTGGCCTTTAGTCCTCTCTGTGGACGTCCTGCTGGTGTCATCCGCGGGTCAGGAGACTGTAAATACACACACACAGCACAGAGTTGTAAATCACAAAGGCCCAGAGCAGACTCTAACATGGAGCCCTAATGTGGGACAGACAAGATCCACATGCTGCAGTAAATAACACCACAACATACTTCAGGGGTAAAGCCATAGCATTTTTACATACGTACTTCTACATGTCAAGCAACTTTCTTTGAGCCAGTGCCAAACCTGAAACATACAAGCAGATAAATCAAGAGGGCATACTGCTTTGCTTGGTAAATCTGAACTCTGTTATCTTATTGATTGCCCATCCCTTATAGGACAAAATCAGACTTCACCCTCCTCAGATTAAGAGCTATTTGTGTTTTCATTTGCTCATGTATTTTGCTGTAGTCTGCAATGTTCTGAACTCTGGTGAGATAAAACCAGGACCCAGACTGCATGTCTTTGGATTGTGTAGGGAAAATGTAGTTTGAGCTGGCCAAGCAAATTTGGAAGTGAAATTGTAATAAAATAAAAAAAATACAAAGGGCCTGAAGAGTAAGAGCTTAATCATAATAAATAGGTCGACAAAGCACTGCACTAGAGTAAAAAATCTAAATAAAGTCAAATGACAAAAACAAAACACAACTTGACACAACGTAAGACACTCATTGCACTTATTATTACACAGTTATTATGACAGGGATCTAAGCTTTAAACGCACTGTGCCTGGAAGCCTGCGTGTACACAGGACATCACAGGTGAAGTCCAATCACACAAAAGCTGCATCTCCACAGACACTCATAAAGAAGCACTGTTTTCAAAGCTGGTCATTAATGCCAGGTGTCAGGCTATCTGAAAAAGTAGTTAAGTTAAACATAGTTTTAAATGCACGCATCTCTCACTTTCACACCTTCACAAGATCTTTTACAATCCAAAAGTCACTGGTGCATCGCTGCAGGGCAGAAATCATCTCCATCTTTATCGTCTTTTTAACTGGATGTCTGCAGGGCAAAGGGACTCTAGCTGAACAAGTTAAGAATATAAGCTTTCTCACGCTACAGGCAACAAACGGTACAAAGGAGTTTCCATCATTTCATTTTTGAGGGGACATATTTGAAATCCTGCTTTAGTGAGCACATAACGTAAGATGATTTGAGAAGCAGAGGATCAGAAAAATGGAGACAGGTGATCACTGAAAAAGTATATCCGAAAGGAAAAATTTAAATATCAGAAAGAAGAATAGGAAGCACCAAAATTATGAGTCAATTCTAATATGGTTTTGTGCCTTTAGTAATTTAAATAATAAATCATATCTTATTATAATACATAATTTTAGTACTTCTACTTACAGCACGAGTATGGCAACAATTTCTGTCCTTTCTCCACTGGCCATGCATCCAAAGTTTCTCAGTATAAACTCAACATGACAATCTATGATTTCACTGGAGAAATTGCTGTTGCACTTTGTAACCTGAGTTTAAAATGAGTTAATCTGAGACCACACATGAGTTACTTTAATCCTCAAAATAATCTGCATCCCATGTTTAGCGGCCATTCAAGGATTAAAGGTGTGAAAGTGGAAAACTGCCTTGGCGCGCATTATCTTCTCAACAGTTTGGCAACAGTTAAAACAAAATATGTGAAAGAGCCATCTCATCATGCGCAGATATCAAGGGGCCGTTAGTTTAAACTCTGTTACATTTACATCATTCCCTGTGTGATCTGTGCAGCACTAAATGTTTTTCCAGGCATTAGCGCGTCATCAGAGCGTCCAGCGCCCTGGTCCAGTTTGATCACACACATCTCCGGAGGGCCCTCACAATTATCTCTCTGTTATGTCAAGTGCGCCTGAGCCAAAAATTGCTTGCTTTGGATTGTTCAGTGCTATCAGGTTCCCATGTGAAAACACCAGTGCATGACATCACTGTGTCACTTAGCTAGCGAGCTACCCCTCACATACACAGCATTTGGTGCTAATCCTCGGTTTTAGGGTGTGAGGCCGGAACAGAGCGCTTGTCTGCACGCTCCTCCGGTGGATTCCAGTAAAAATGCAGCAGTGGCTTTTGGGAAATGTTTAAAATGAGTCAACCATGATGGCGCCACTGTAACGTGTAAGAACATCAGGGCAACCACCACTAAGAAAATGGGTGTTTGTGAGATCATTTTGGACTGGTTTAGTTATGCTTGCTGATATTCTGACCAAACTGAGCTCACAGCTGGGCCCCCATGTGCTGCGGTCATCCACTGCTCCTGGGTTGCCCATGTGGAATTGAAGAATGGGTCAAATGCAAAGATACAGATACAGAGACATACAGTATTTCCCTACATAGATCAGTAAAGTATACCTTAACTTTATGAGTGCAACAGTAGCTATAAACTCAGAAAATTGTGTCACATATAAATGTGAATACAGCATTTGATCCAATTCAATACTCTAGAAACATTCCTTCCTTCCTAAATGATAAATACACACATTCAGTTGTTTCATTTCATTTGTTTGTTCAGAGGAAACTCCCAATAGATGAGTTAACCCTAAATACTATTCACTATTCATTAAGCTCTTCATGAGTTGGCTCAGATGACTTTTTAAATCTATTCTTGATTGTAACTTTATTGGTGTTTACTCATTTCTGACAGATCAAATTGGGTCTCTTTCAACAAATAATCAAAGTGATTGTTTTACAAGTACACTGTTTGCCTATGAGCACCAGGCCGTACGCACGCCTCACCCTCCCATCCAGGGGCTCTGATAATAGGCAGGGGCTGTGGAGGAGGTGCCCACTGGAGTGTGTCAGTTCCTGGAGTATAGACTTACCAGGCGACGAGATGCACCGGGCCATTACATGTGACCCCTGCCCCCCACAGACACCCTAAGGTGCTCCGAGCGCGCTCCACTGGATCCTGCGTTGTGTCTCTCTGTCGCGTGTATGTAGATGTGTTTCATTATGGTTCAGTCTAGTTCTACACTGGCCAATAAGAGCTGCGGGCCTGTCCTGTGGCTATGTGCGCATGCAATGGGGGGTGTCAAATCTGAATTTTAATCACACCTCCCTCCAATTACCAGCGCCAGCCACCCTGACAAGAGGCAGACAGGAGGGGCCCGGGCCACATGCACAGAGGCACTGTCATATTATTCTTAATTATAGACCTGCGGTAAATGTAAATACACACAAATCACACATTGGGATATAATTATTTAAAAGAATGATATCCAAAACATTTAAAACATATTCTTAATCATAAGTTTAAAAAGTGTTTCATTATTTTTTTCAATTCTTCAAATGCTATTCAAGACAATGTAACAAGATGTATTTCCATTCTTGAATACAGAATTGATTGAGAGGTACAAATTACTTTTTTCAATGTATTTATCTGGAGATTGTGTTTTGGATCAGCTCCCTGTCGTCTTTTCTTGTGCATTTACATAGTGACTTATGACGTCTGGTGATCCAGCAGAGCCTGTGGTCTCTAATTAGAAGAATGCTGCAGAAATCAGTCAGCCATGTCGTAGTGAGTCTGTGTGAATGACCTCCTCACCGCTCACTGTCCACTCGTGATGTCCACTCATGCATGGATGTCCTGCTACTTAGGCCCTCAGATATGTGTATTATTGTCTGGAGGTGACAGATGACCAATGAGAAGCACAGATTTGTCCAATTTCAATCAAATCAGCCAAGTGCATTGTTTTGAACTTATCAGGAATCTTTATAGAACAAAACTGGCACATACTGAGACTTTTCATTTTTTTAAAATTATTTATTTATGATTATTCTTTTTTTTAATCATATATATATTATTTTCAAATACTCATGCATTCAAGGACAAAAACAGCAAAAGTATTAACTGAATCACCCACCCCAACAATTAAATACACAAAGAGAAAGAGTTAAGTACAATAATTGACGCATATTGGACCTCTTAGCTTCAGTGGAGTGGTGTAGAGCGGAAAAGATATAGTGAAGGAAAGAGAAATAGAGGGATGGGGAGAGACCATAGAATATGCAGTCTATATACAGTCTGTGGGAGAGATAGAGAGAGGGAGGGATGGAGAAAGAGGCATAAAAAGACAGAGTAAGGGACGGCGAGAGAAAGAGTGAAAACAAAGAAAAACAGTCAAATTGATGAAATACTACTAATGAACAATGGAATCTTCCCTTATTTCTTTTCTTAACACTTTCTTTTCAAAATTTTACCATTAACTATGTAACTGAGAGTAAATAAATACATATTTTCCAGAACTCTTAAAAATAAATCCCTTACTTATTCCAGTGCAAACTCTGCCATACTTAAGCACACTCATCATATCATTATTAGCGTTATCTGGAGGCATATTACAAAGAAGGTGCTGACATTCAAATGTAAATACAAGCGGAGGTGCAGTTAGCGTCTAAGGGCACCGCACGCTGCTTTGTCCTGACTCTTCACCCACACACAATGGGCCGCACAGGGAGGGGAGGGGCTGTGACCGGTGCCCACAGAGCGCCTGCCAGGGAGGGGCCGGACAGCAGCGAGAGAGAGGGGTCAAAGGTCAGGAGCACAAGAGGGTCTGCTCTTCATATCACCGCATTACTTCTTGTGTGTGTTCATCTATATTCACTAAATGCAACATACAGAATTAGACTAAGATTGCAATACTTTTTTTTTCAATTGGGTATTTATAGGAAGAACTCAGGTAAATGAGGCCACTTTTTGGTTTATCATCTGGGACAATAATTTTAAATGACCTTTGGCACTGAAATATGTTTTTATAGGTAGTAATGACTGATATTCTGGGGTAAATTTGTCCCAAAGCTTTTGAAACCGCAGCTTGTTGATAACCAAAATGTTATTATTTGTATCTATTTACTGTGATCATAGAATATTTTTTAGCTATAGTAAGTGGAAATGGGCAAAGATATTTACAAAACAGCATAAAAATTGCCTTTATCTGATTAAAGCAATTGGCTGCTGAGTGGTAAATGTAGAGTATTATGAGACCATTCCTTTGAATTTTACCAAAATATTCTACTATTTTGAAATAGTTAAATACAAAAGCTTTTTAGTTTATTTCATTTAGTGAGCCTGAGTGAACAGGAGCTTTCTCACAGTCTAAATGGTTACATTACTGCACCATTATAAGTCATTTGAAATTGTCTCTAAACTTCTGAAAATACTCAAGGACACATGAGGTAATGGTTCGAGGGTGCCAAGAGGGCTCCACATGACAAGTGTGATTATAAAGATCTCTAGATCCTGTGAATATA